GAATTAATTAGTATACTTGTTATTTTGACTAAAAATGCTAAATGTTTCAGAAGATTTTAATTTCTAGATCTGGAATTCATTAATCTTTAGAATTGTATTTGATAAGCATGATTTCTGAATTCCCGAGATTGTTTAATCATAGCAGTCCTTGAATTGTTTAATAATCTTTTGAAATATACGGATGAGAACCTGCATAGGTTATATTTTCATGCTCTTCGATCTATTTATTTTTTAATTATAAATATTTACTAAATTATGCGTTGAAAATATCCATTTATGGGAAAACAATTAATTTTAAGAACATGACGATTTCTGAAATTGTTGTGAAAAGTCCAGAAAAAATGTTCATTTACTGATATATGAAAATGATGTCATTAGAATATATATTTCAGAATTGGTTGTGATTACTTTTAGAGATTGTTTTTGTTAGTTTTTACGACTCATATTCAGTTTTAAAAATTTCTTTTTATGATTCATTTAATATGAAGGAGAGTGAGATTTCTTTTTTAAAATGACAAGTTAAGGGCGTCAAATATTCTTAGATTTTAATTTCCGTATGCCCTTGGCGGTAATCAATTGACAAGAAATGTTTCTGTGCAACGCATGTGCTTTTGACAAAACAAAAACATGTAACGGGGAAGATAACCTCTGAGTTAATTATAGCACTACCTACTAAACATTTTATCCATCAAAATCACGAGTTTAACAAGTCTTTCTCTGTCATTAATCTTAATATAACCTGCTAAAATTTGTCAGATATGGCACCATCTTTAATCAACATCCCTGTGTCTTTGAGCATGTTTTTTCCAAGAAGGATTTGATTCACACTTGAGTGGTTTTCTGACTTAAGTTCTCGTATCTTTTATGTCGATCAAATGTCAGAGCTGTCATAGATATGCTTAGTAGTCCATCGGGACGGGGAAGTTACGGAATTAATAAGTAGATCACTTAACATCCCCAATTGAAAAGTACGACATTTAAGCAGTTTGAATTGTAATTTTGCGCTAAAAAATCCATTGTTTAATTCCTCATGAAAATTTAATCTTTAAGGCTTATAATTGTTAGTGTTCTAAGGCGTATGTGTGTCTTGTCTCAGTTTTTTTTTTCTGCCATCTTAGTTTGACAATATGAAAAATGTAAATCGATTGATCATTCTACATTAATGTGGAACGTTGTTTATATACTTTAACATAAACTGACTTTTCTGGACACTGTTCTGGAGTGGTATTGTCCACTTATTTTCCTTTTTGTTGTCTAAAATGACGAATAGTACTGCCCTACAAAAATGTTTTGAAGTCCGCTAAATCACGTCATTTGGACATGTTGATGAAGAGACAGAGGAGATAGATGTCTTTGGGGTTTTGTTTGACGCATTATATAAAGTATCAAAAAATTGGTCGAACAACAAACCCTATATTAAATCCTACAGTATAGCTTACAAAATAAAAAAAAAATTGAGAATAATTTACACATATTTCATATTCTGATACTTACTACATTGGAGGGAAAATAAAAACACCAAATGAATGCAGTGGAATAAAGGGGGGATACAGAGGTACAAGGGATAGCGATTTCTGGTGACTTACTTCAAACCAGGAAATAAACAGAAGTTTACATGTATCTTCATGCTTCAATGTCATATTGACGAATTTCCTTTAATCTTGATTCAAATCTACGTCTTCCAAACACAGTTTTAGTTCTTTTTCTTTTACGAGAAACAATGAAGTCAATTACGCAGCATTACCAGGAAGGCACTCATATACAACAGCATAAACTCTTCTTACAATAAGTGTTAAGTGATATACATAATATGTTAATACCCCTTTCAAGGCGTATTTTAAAATAGTGTTGGATTATTGGTGTCATAGACAAATTATTACAATACGGTTAATTATACATATATTCACATACACTATAATTAAAGGTATCAAATAATGTGTAAAAAGTGAAAAAAAAACTTTGCTTCCCTTCGTGCATTTGGTACAGAGCTTGAAAAATGGGTTCACTAGGAAGGAAAGAATAGCTTTTAAAAATCCAGAATTTCATTTAAACCTGTCTATAGATTTGGCCCTCTCATATTCTCGGGATCGCATTAATGTTATAATTTTTAAAACAAAACTCTGATTTCAACAGGAGTATACAAAAACATTTCACATGTAGAGAATAGAGAGAGGAATACTTATATTATGTAGACCATGTACCAATAGCAAAATAAGATTATATATTACATATCGTTCTATCAATTCAAGTAAATCATTGCGTTTCAAAGTTCCTTTTTACAACAAATAAAATTTTGTTCATCTTTTTTAAAGTCAATAATTATTTAAATTTAACATTTGCTTTGTCTGTAAATTCATTTGTTAGACATATTTTCATGACCTATGCTATATCATTTAAATAACATTAAAAAATATGTTGTTCCTCTCATGTTTTGTCAAGGTGTACTCAATCTTTTGATATTTTCAATCTTTTAATTTCAATAAGTTTAAAGTCGACAGCTCCAAATCCAGATAATGCAGCCCATTTGCACAACGCAGTATATGTAAATAATTCTTTATTCGCTACAGCAATGCAATTTTTTGGTTTAAATACTAACGAGGCGAACTTGGTCATATAAATAAAACACAACGCACACTGCGATTGGCCGAAAATTCCCTAGCACCTGTCAATCAAAATGGGGCGCTCTGAATGTCGAAGTTAATGAGTACTCACCTTTAAATACGAGTGGATTCACCTGCTAACCGTTCACTTCCCGAGAACTATCGGACGAACTTACTGCTGTACTTTTGTAGCTGGAAAGCAATCTATTCCAAAAAACCGCCAACATGGGACTCACGAGAAAGACCCAAAAATACAAATTGGTCCAGGATGGGAAAGGTTAGATTTGTAGAACATTTGGAATAACTCTTCCTTACAATCGTTTCCGATAATCTAAAAAAAAAACTGTCATAGTATACTATGTTGTGTGCAATTAATTTATTATTTTTTTTAATTTTCTATTGCTCCTTTTTCATATATGTCTCATTATCGACATATCTTGAATTTAATGCTGTAAGTCTAATAAAAGATAATTTTAAACATTTCAAATAATGGCTTGTTTAAAAAGGGAGTGGGGAAATCGCACTCCTTTGTCCTAGACTATTACTGTACATGTCCCAGGTTCAGTGTGTCAAACTAGAAAAAGAAATTTGAATCGATTTTATAAGGGGGATCTTTTTGACTGATATTATTTAGCAATGTCGTTTAGTTATTGTTGTATTAAAAATAAAATCAACGAATATATTTGTATTTTGGCATTGTAAGAGTCTTAAACGTTTAAATGAAATAATAAGGATAATCTGAATGGATTATGCTTGATATATTATTGAAGAAGAATTAAAATGACAGAAATTATGTAAGATTTTTTATTATGTGGGGATTAATATTCATCAAAAATATTATTCATCAGTGTATAAGTATGCTCATTTATCAGTTCAGTACAAAGTCAAATAAAAGTACGATTGCTAACGGAAACTTGTCAAAAAACTTGCATTATCTCCTCGAGGAATTGTGTTGGATTAATATTCATAAAATATGATATAAGGCAGCTTTTTAAGATGCATAACAGTTCAATATAAATTCAAATAAATTTTACTGTTGTTTTAATTAACTTTTCAAAATAATGATTATACATGCATGTATATAACCCGCATGCATGTGCATTAATCAAAGAGAAGTAAACAAGTGACATTTAATTAAGTATCTGTCTACTGGCTTGAAATGCATTTGGCACCAAACGAATTGTCACCAACGTAATTTTGTCAGGATTGATGAAGATTTAAATATAAGTCACTATAGTCATATTGTTAATTAATCAAAGCATTACCACTGCTAGATTTACTGATTAAAATATTTTGAAAATGAAACATGCAAATCAAGACACAATTAAAACTGTAATGCTGTAATTGTTCTGGAAAACGAAACATTTCCATCAAACCTATTTTTGAATTGACCAACATTTAAAAATATCTTCAATTTTAATGCGCAGATCATCCTTCACATTTTATTAATTTAGGGAAAATGATTTAAGTTTTACATTTAAAACACTTATTTTGGACGTCAGGCGAAACGTCTTAGTGGAAATGTAATTTAATTAATCAGACATATTTATTGTCAGAACAAGTGGTTAAATTTCACTTTGGACCTCTTGAATAGGTTTCAATCCGTCAGATCGCCATGTTTGCGGATGTAATGTCCCGAGGCGATACAAAAATCTATACCTCTATTTAAAACCAACATTGCGATGTACAACTGCAAGTTGCACAATAAATTGAAGAGCTTTTTTGACCCAACTTGTTGTACAGATGTATGTTCTTTTGGCAATGGAGGGAAACCACAGACTTTTCAGCAGTGCATAAAAAGCCTAATGTCATTGTGTAAATAGTCTTTATTGCATATTTTGATTCATACATGCATTCAAAGATTTGGGAGAGAAAACTATCACCATATGAAATGTACATATTGTAGCTTAAATGCATATACAAAAAATGAGAGAAAAAAACAAAGTTTTAACATTTTTCTGTTACACGAATTTTATACATTTCAAGCAATCGGAATGGCTTTATGCAAGTGCATAAACATTTGACAAGATTTATGTCTAACCCCTTACCCCCTTAAAAACATATAATAATGATTTTTTTTACTAGTATCACAAACAAAAATTGTGCGTTGCTGGGGTCTCTTTTATATATATTTAGCTTCCTCACTTCGAGAATCGGTGTTATCTGGTTGTTAAAACTTTATATACAAGGACAAAGGATATGCATTTATACAGTGTAATGCAACACTGAATCTCCAATGTATCTGAATACAGGGGTATCACCCATTACCTGGGTATTTAACAGTCAATACCGCCACAGTTTTAGAATTCATAAAGAAATATCCTTGACTTTTATGTTATATACTTCCCGTATACTCGTGTATACTTGTAAGTTCACCACAAGTACTTTATGTCGTTGTAGATCCTGTGCCTTTCGGAAGCATCCGAAAGCTTGTCGACCAGTTCCAAAGAAACACTGTGTCGGAGACACCGAAGGAACAGACCATGAGCTGGGGATACGACAAAAATGACGGTAGGACGTGTGTGCCTCTGCCGACCTTTCTACTGTGCAGTCTGTATCATACAGGCCGTATCATACAGACTGTATCACATAGGCTGTATCATATACTCTGTATCATACACGCTGTATCATACACGCTACATCACATCATAATTAACAGTGTTCCTCACTAATAATACATATTCATAGTTTCTAATATCGTAACTTCAACACCTAATAAATTACTCAGACCTTTAAAGTAATAAAAACTTGACATCACCCTCTGATCATACATGCATTAAATATCATCCCCGACTGTACCAAAATAAAAGCAGGGAAGTTTTATGTAAAAACCGAGTTCATATGAAATTAAATATGTGCAATAGTGAAAATAAACTTTTTAAAATGGCCGAATGAGGTTAAATATTTCCTCGTGTTTATTTTGGTAATTACGGGTATTTAAATCAGTCCATCGACCTCCGTTATTATTCCTTCCCTTTACGATAATCCTTCGACAATAATAAGCATGGAAAAAAAGAAGATCGTAAATATAATATCAAATGATTTGAAAGAAACACGTTAGGTTCAACTACCATCTAAAATATTTATATCAAGGATAATTGGCATATACAATGTAGGTAATTTTATGGAATAACTTTTACATAAAAATGGCACATTCAAGACTTTGCGTTCACAAAAAGTGAATGGTGTGGATACTTGTTTTTTCCATTGTTCCTTGAAAATACAAGATGCATCAAATCACATTTTTACTTACATATAATAAAATGTAGGTTTTTGTTGTAAGATAACTTTTAAATTTAGGGATGTCCTCTACCCTTGGAACAAACGTTTCATTTTAAAGTTTTGTGCTTGCAGGGGTGTGCAATTAAAAAAAAATAAGTACTAGCCCACGAGCTAGTGGCAGCAATAAATTTACTAGCCCCAAGAAAAAAGTTACTAGTCCAGATGTAGGGGGCCCTTGGGGGGGGGTTTAAAAAAAAAAAAGTTTATTGTTGAAAAAGTCAGGGTTTTAATGTTATTCTTTTTTAAATTAAAGTTTAATTCTCACTGAGTTTAGTTCTCACTATTAAATTAAATCATGTATAAATTAATAATTATGATAGTAAATAAAATGAATTCAAATAAATTATCTTATCTAAAATGAAATGAAAATCATTTTTTTTCATCTTAAATCATTAAATTTGCTGGAAATATATTTTATGTAAACTACATAATACTTATCTTTCAGTTGACTGAGTGATCACAAATAATTTAGATATCTGCATGTGTATTTACCATAAACAGAGGAATAGAGGAAATTCGGATTAGATAAAAAACGATCGTTTTTGGAAGTAAATAAGTTAGGTGGTACTGCAAAATGGATACGATTATGGAGATTTACGAAAAATAGGAGCATGCTGCCGAAAATTTTTCATTGCTTGAGAATTTAATAGCAAAAAATGAGTGAATTGAAATACCGATAGTGATTTTCATGTATTACATTGCTAGTTTTAATTTTTACTAGCCCAAGGGGCTACCTCCGTGCAGAAAACTACTTGCCCGACCCCCCCAAAATGGTAGCCCGGGCGTCGGCCGATGCTAATAGCACACCCCTGGCTTGATTTTGATAAATTTTTAATTTTCTAATGAACGTGCAATTGAAATTATCATTTATTAAGTGAATATATTGAGATTTTTCGTTGTTATGTTGCATTTATCAGATTAATCTATTATCGATCTATAATTTTTCATTATACGTACTTCCTATTCATATTCCGTACCCTTCCTCTCAGGACCTGACACCTGGTGCAATAGCTACCCAATAGCTAAGGGTGACCGCCAGTCCCCTATCGACATCCCTACAAAGTCATGTCAATTAGACAACCAGCTCTGCTCCAAACCCTTCCAAGTGAACTACGCCACAGAGAAAAACGCTGAGGTTTCCAATACCGGAAGTTCCATCAAATTCCAAATCAAGGAAACCTCAGGTAGGGACCTTAAACATGGAATTCTGTAAAATTATCAGGAAAACTATATAAAAGTCCTTCAAATTAAATATAATGAAGTATTTTATTATTTATTCTACAGTTTTGAGGGGTGGTCCTTTGGAAGGTGAGTGGCGTCTAGAACAATTTCATCTCCATTGGGGCTCTAGCAATGACCATGGATCGGAACACACCATTGACGGCAAGACGTATGCCGCAGAGGTAAGAATGACAGATTTAACCCACATCTTCTCTATGTATATTGTAAAGTGGATATTTGATTTAAGTTGATACAAAGTGTGACTGAATTTGTGGTTAATATAACTGTATAATTTCCTTACAGCTTCACTTGGTCCACTGGAACGCTAACAAGTACTCCAGTTTTGGTGAGGCCGCCGACAAAGCTGACGGACTAGCCGTCATCGGCTTCATGGTTAACGTACGTATCAACAAATCCTCCTCTTGATTGAACTAGAATAACTTATAACTGTCGTCGTGGTGATGTCTTACTGATACAGTCTCTGTTATTATGCCATTTTATATTAATTTACAGGTAGGAAAGGAGCACGGAGGATTCAAAACCTTAACCGATGTCTGCAAGAAAATCCAGGAGCCGAATGCAACAGTCCGTCTAGACAAAGATTTTAATCCATCCTGCATGCTCGGAAGTAAGAACAAAATAAAAGGACACTGAGAAACATATCATCTGTTGAATTTGATAACAATACTGTGTAAAATTGTTACATCTGAGGTCATTTATTATAATATTCATTTTTTTAAGAGCTTGACCACTACTGGACGTACCCCGGATCTCTAACCACGCCCCCTTTGTTTGAAAGTGTCACATGGATACTCTGCAGTGACGTCATAGAAATCTCGCAAGCACAGGTAAGATACAATATTGAAAAAACCTTAACAATATACTCTTTAGAATAATTAATAATAAACAAAAAATTGCTTTTTCTTCTTATTCTTGCTTCATGGAGATTTAACATTATCTGTTCTTCAATTGTAGATGGATGCCCTTAGATCATTAAAGTTCAAGAACGGAAAATGTATGGTTGACAACTACCGTCCCCCAGTCCCACTGTGTGGACGCTGTGTCAAGGCCTCCAAGTAAACGGCAGCCATATTTGTCATATACCCATAGTTGATAGCGGTCTACATCCATTTCCAAATCCTAGTTTTTTTTTTGTTTTTTTTTAATTTAATGACTCTAGTTTTTATGACTTGGGGAACACTCAACTGTTCCTAACTATTGTGCTTTATTATTCTCCTTATTTTAAGCCAAACTAGCCAACGAATGGTCAGATATTCATGGTAAGGAGCTTTTTATAACATGAGAGAGATTTGTTATTTATTTTAATGTATTTTTTGTAAAAGAAAAAGGCTTTAAAATACGCCTATGCCATTCATTTTAAATGTAATGTCATTGTGAATAATGCTGGTCATTATTTTTACATTATTGATATATTTATTGTACTATAGGTTAAATATGAATTGATTTATACAAATTCCCAGTTCTGCGAAGACAACAATGAATTCTATTTTTTACAAAATTCCCTTTGATTCTCTCCTATTTTCTGACCTTTTGTTCTGTAGAACCAGTCAGATGTTAAGCAATATCATACAACATGGATTCCATTCCATAGCTTCACTATACAACAAAACTTACTTGATAATGTTTCATTTATATTTAACCATTTTATCAAAGTCACGAATGTTTCAGTATCCTTATAGTATTATAGTGATCTAGAAAACCAGACTTTTACAAGTGTTTTATCAATATCGTTTTTATTGTAAAGTTGAAGTTTTATCGTTTTTTTTTTTTTTCATGTGTCCTCGAAACTCGTCTATGTGAGACCTACTTTTATGTTGAGTATTTGGTGTAAATCTCCTTTTAGTGGCAATCTTTGCACGTAGAAATATTTAATCTAGCGCCTTTGTTCCCTGAGAATGTATTTTATTGTAGTGCTATTTGGTGCCGACTTCCCTTATGTGGACAGTCTGGTAATGAACACGTGTTTGTTTTACAGAAATCAAAAGTTTGACCGAAAATCAAAGCTTCGGTTATAAATGATCACAAATTTAATGTATTTATGAAATTTTTATGCAATTTATGTGACAATATTTCTGTTGTTGACAATCTTTTTAGCCATGGCAATAAAATGATGTGTGACTCTTTGTACTTGTCTGTTATGATACCGGCAGAGCACAGAGTAGCATGTATACTAGTATAATGCTGGAAAATCAAAATGGAGTCGGAAACAAGTTATGAAACATGTTATATCTTTATTTTAATGATAAAAAATCTATTTGAATGATAAAAAAGAATCTGCATAGCAAACAAAGTAGTCTGTCACGTCATGTACGTTTAATTGTTTGATGCCGTGGGTAAAATCAGCTGTGATCGACCGCAAATTGACGAGTCATGAAAAGTCGTACAGAACTGTCAAAAACAATCAAAGATATATAACTTATAATTTAAAAAGCGACCACGTTCATTTAGAAAAGTTTGAATAGTCTTTAAAAAATTGTACATTTTGTACGTTAGTGCATGAGGGAATCATCTCCCATAGCAACAAATGTAAATCTATAATATGCAGATTATTAATGATAGTGGCGTATTCACTAGAGAGTACCTTGCTTTTGTACAATTCTACAAACAAGAATTAGATGGATACATCTTTTAATAATCTACGTGAACAATTCGAACTATTATAGCTATTAACATGCATTCTCTGTAAGCACCAATAAATTTACTGATAAGGGCTTTGAAACGACATGTCTCCGATTTTGATGAAATTTGCACCACATGTGCGTCTTGGTGCGAAACTAGCAAATATGGTGTCGGAAGTTCCATACGTGATCTCGCTTGTCATGTTCCATACGTGATCTCGCTTGTCATGGAGACGGATCCATTGAATTTGGCCATTTTGACCAAATGAAAACATGAAATTGAGGAAATGTAAACGAACATTTGTCTGTATTTAATAAAAGAATCATTGGATCATAAAATATCAAGAACTTTTAAGGTAGTGTTATGAACTGTTTGCGTTTGTATGGAATATACAGGGGATATTTATAGACTATATAATAAAATCATTTATTTAAAAAATAAACAATGTTAAAAAGTTCACCGGGAAATGAACTTGGTTGGTCACGTGATCAAACCCTGTGAAGCCGGAAAGGCTTCTCAGAAGATATGATCACGTACCAACCAAGTTCATTTCCCAGTGAACTTTTTATAACTTATATTTACATTTGAAACGACTATTCGAAAAGAAAAAAAAAACGGCCCGCCGTATCACTGTGTTGTTACACACAGTGACCTAGAACTGGAAGTTATTTGGTCATGAAAGTTCGCTTAGCGCCAACATTTGAATGTTTATATTGGTGTTTTGCGATCAAGCTCAGGAAATCTAATAAATAATGATAGAACAATGATCGATATTGAAAATAATCTTACTGTTTCGTGAGTTCTTTATATATGTTGAGTCTTGAAAGCGGACATATGTAACAAAAATAGGCAATATATCATCTCGCAGTGTGACTCGGTCACGCTATGACCTCTGACTCCCTAATAAGTTCATACAGAATTGAACATATTTTCTCTTCAATAGGTTCATCTAAGAAAAATACATGTATTTGCAAATGTAAATATTCTAGAAATATTCCCACGCTAAGCAAACTAACTTGGTTTCTGAAAATGTGAAAAATGGGGAATTTAATAATTTTTGAGATCTTTAAGGCTAAATAAGAAAAATTGACTGCGGAAAATTTATAAATCTTATGTGTGTTTTTATACTTGAAAATTAGTAGTGGCTATTATTAGTAATGAAAAAATATCAGTGGGCTTTTTAAAAATGATATTTATAGTAACGTATTTATAAATAGATACATTTTATTTTTTTAGAAAAATGTAAAAAATAAGATTTTGACAACGTTTTACATGCCATTGCTGGATAATTAGGAAATATACTGTAAAATTCAAGATGTTAATGACAGAAGCTGGACACCACTAGCTGGAGTGGACCAGAGTTGAAGGGGAATCCTATTTCTATGTATAGCATCACGACCTAAATATAGTTGTGTCTCTGCATATGAGGAAAAATGAAAATTTTATGCTAATTGAAAGCTTCATAGAAAAAGTATAATTCTTTCTATAATATGCCATCAAAAAGAACATGTGTTTGCAAAATAATCGACACAACATTGAGGGTCGACTTTTATTCCTTTTTAAGGCAACAATGGTCTAAAAAAAAGATGTCTCGAATTATCGAGAAAATGTAGATTCTTGCACTTTTTAAGGCAATGTTGGATAGAAAAAAATGCAGACTAACTGTTATAAACATAGTGTGACTGAAAAGTACTAGAAATCATTTACTGACATACAGTATCTGAAGGAGTTTCCCATTTCTATTTATAGCACAAAATACCCATAAATAGATACGTCTCAGGATGTGATTTTCCACCAATTGTAAGCTTGATAGAAAAAGTAATTACAAAATATACTGCTGTATCTAAATGTCGAGCCGAAGGCCACAGCAAGTGTCTTCTTCTCATGTATGTTTTTAAAAAATAAATTCTGCTTCATATGAATACAAAAATTTGTCTACTAATAACAGGGCGCGATTGATACCCATGGGAACTCCGACAGATTGTTGGAACAGCCGATCTCCGAAAAAATTACATAGATATTGTCAATCAGAAACTCAAGCATCTTTTTAAAATCTACTTCAGAGTACTTGTGTGTTCGGTCAGAATGTTTTTTTAACAAAATAATTTTGTAAATGACAATGACATGGTAAGTAAAGCGAATTCCATTTATATTGCAAAAGCAGCTGTCTGTAATGTCAAGAAGCCTGGACTTTAATTTATCGTGGGGAATGTGTAGTATAAAGTGTTGAAAAGTCGTACGTTATTGAATTTGGTAAAAATTTGTGATTCAAAATTTTCTAAAAGTGGAGTTTTAATTATTCACATCTGATTCATACCACTTCTCGAATATATTGTTGTACAGTACTCCTGAAGCTTCTCCTTCACTGCTGTAAATATTTTATTGAGGAGTAAAGAAGGGGGCTTGGTGGAAAATTTACTGGAACCCGCTATGTGTATTTATTTGTAAAGCCACCTTTAAAAAAAACGTTTGCTTGCCCTCTCCCCACTCAGGATAAAAAAAAAACTGGGTAGGTAGGCAGGGGAATTTTTTTATTATTCAAAAACACCTGCAAATGAGAAGTTAAAATAGTTATTAATGAATAAAAGAAAATAATTGTTTTCTGAAGGTCAAAAAAGTTTTGAGTCGGGTCGGTTTTAGTCAGTCGGGAGAGGGCAAACAAACATTTTTTTTTAAAGATGGGAGGATTTTTATGAAGTGTAGGAATCCAGTATACGTATGATATTCAAATTCATTTTGATTGTTAAAAGTTTTAAATTTTTTTCAAGTATTATGTTCTGGTATGAAAGTTACGGTCAAGGAGGTTATACTTTTTGAAAGTCACACTTAGAGGTCTAGGTGACGGGGTCAAAAATTATAGTATATGTTGCCGTTCAAGGGTTTTCTCCCTTAAGCAAATTGTGGGTCTCCCAAGTCTGTATATTGGACAAAAGAACTCTAATTCAGGATTAAAATGTATAAAAATTTATTATTGCTTGTTGTATTTAATTTGCATAATCTCTTTGAACGATTTTCCCTATTTCTTGCTCCCGTAGAAATATTATTTCTCTCCCAATTAGAAATGGGAATAAAATATTTTCAAATGGGAAAATTAAGTTTTAGGGAATTATAAATAAATTTACAAAAAGTATAAAAGTATTTCCCAAAATACTGGGAGTCCCTTCGCAATACAATTGACAGTTATCGGAGAGTTATTTCACCTCCCACTAATTTTCTCCCACAGAACAATTCAATATAATTATTAAAAGTAAAAATAAAATATTATCCCAAAATTCATCAGCTCCCATAAATGAATTATTTTTCAATATGAGTTATCCATTGACTTTCACTCCCAGATATTCTGGAGATGTGAGCTGTAAAAGTCAATTTACAAACTGACTAGTCGATCGATCTGCGCTGGCTTATATAGGCATCGGGCTCGATTGTCGTGACGTCACGACAAAGTGAAAATACCCGCCATCTTTGTCGTAGCAAAGAAGCAATTTTGATATGCTGCCATGCCGATCGGATCGACGAAAGGAATCACGCACCCTAGGGCGCGGATAATTACTGTTTGGTATATTTGGGACTTGTGCTGATGAACTTCGTAAACATAAACAAAAGCAATCGTAAACAGTTAAAGCGTGACTTGGGAATGTAAGATGTCGAGGAATTTCGGGGTAACGCTAATTACCGACCTCGTCCCAAATGATGAACTTGGTAAATATACAATGGATGATAAAATAAAACATACAATTAATTAAACATATAATTTGTCTTTTTATAGTCCAGTATTTTACAGGGAGTATTGTTAAACTTGTACTGTGTATTTCCACAGAAAGTGTTTCCCATAGTAGTGGGAATAATTAGGGAACCGTAACATATATTCTTAAGGTTTTGTCACGGGTACTACACAAGTGTGAAAAATATGAAAGCGCTGTCGCTTCTGTGACAAAAATTTCGGCTAAGTTGAATTTATTCCCTGAAAAAATTGATCAAGCTTCAAAGATGTATGGTCAAAAGTCATAGTACATTCGGAAAGGTAATGCACTTGTAATATACAAGGGTTGATCCAAAAGTTCGTGGAATTTCTTTCTTAAATTTTATTGTGACGTGATCAAAGCAAACAAAAGACAGATCTATAAAATAGAGTCATTATGCAAGAATACGAAAAACTTTCACCACATTCCAATTACCATTAACGGGTCACACGAGCTTTCTTAACTTACACATTTGTAAAATCCGGGGGAGATTTTGACGTAACGTCAAGTCAGGTATGTCACGTCACGTTCTAGGAGCATCTCACTCTCTCGTTCAAATCGACTTAGAAATTCTACAGAACACTGCAATCTTCTCCCTATTTCTGCCTTCGAGGAAAGCCTGGGTACCCATCTCGCACCCACTTTCTTCATATTACGATCATTTTTCAAAATACGCTCTGTCTTCCAATTTCAGTAGCAATGTCAAGCAAAGTGCATCGGCGTCCACGTCTATAAACGCTCTCAATTTGTCTACGAGGAAAGAA